AGGAGAAGTTGCCGAAATTCTGGTGCAGACCGCGAACAGTTATTTTTACCTGTGCTGATGATATCGTCATCACCTCGGAGTCGAAGCYYGAGGYGCAGCAGGGCCGATTCTCCATCCGGGACAACCGCACACACCGGGCATTCACGGTGACTGTGGAGCGTCTGGCCAAGGAGGATGCGGGCACCTTCCGGTGTGGAGTGCGAACGGGAATGCTTCRATTTGATWACAGTGCTGATGTGGAGGTGATCGTGGACCAAGGTCAGTCCTTATGCGTTGTGAGTCCCTCAGTTGAAGTCTGGATGTGTCCCCCTCCAGGTGCTGGAAACAGGGGCTGCAGTGGGAACAATCTGGAGGCGGTGGGTGCCCATACAGGTGGGACAGCCCCAGGATTTGTCACCAGAGTGCAGCAAGTGCCACCATCACTCATTCCCCTTTCCCAATTCTGACCAGAGCCCCTTTTTTGGCACCACAGGATCACCCGCCTCCATTACTGATGTGCACTGTCCTCTCTGTTTCTCAGTTCATTAGCTCTTGCTGGCCCCATCTGTGCTCTGCTTTCCTTTCTGTGTAACACTGGGGAGTTCCTCACCCCACTGTGCTGCCCCATTACCTATTGGGACAGGCAATGCCTCTAGGCACTAGACCTTGGACTTGGGGAACATCTCTCTCATTGCCTTGCCAGGGATCAGCCCCTATATAAATATGGGGAGTTGTTATGTTGATCCTAAACTGGGCACGGGGTGCCCAGTCCCGATATTTTCAGGGTGAACTCTGTTTTGTGCACGTTTTGGGGGTGCTGAGACTGTGAAAATCCTCATGGGTAAGGAAAGGATCTTACAGCTCTCCCATCTCAAGATCTGTCCTCTGGATGCGGCAGAGGGGACCCAGCTTCTCCTGCTGTGATGGTAAATGGGTCACTTCTGASTCACTGCAGAACCCACAGGGTTTTCCCCTGCTGAGATCAAACAAGCCTCTCGTCTTTTTGTTACAGCTTCTTCCACCTCCCCACCATTGAACTTCACCACCACCAACACCACGTCCCCTGATCTCCCTCTCTCTGTAACAGGCCACACACAGACAATTCCCCAKGGGGAAACTCTGCAATCAACACCAAATCCCTCCACCCATCAACCGTGAGTAGCAGCTCCTGCTGACACCAGCCACTTCCCTTCATGAGCTCTCTTTGGTGAACATGAAGCCCTCCTGCTTTTGCCTTTAGAGACCACTCCACATAGAAAAATTCCTCCTCGTGAGGGTGGTGAGGCCCTGGCACAGGTTGCCCAGAGACGTTGTGGATGCCCTGTCCCTGGAAATGTTCAAGGATAGGCTGGATGGGGCTCAGAGCAACCTGGCCTAGTGGAAAATGTCCCTCCCCATAGCAGAGGGTTGGAATGGATGATCTTTAAGGTCTCCTGTGACCCAAACTACTTTCTAACTCTGTGACAGTAATTCCAGTTTCTCTGGTTGTGTGGCCCCAGCAAAGCCCTGCTTTCCCCCCATCCATCTTGCAGCTTAAGCAAGACATGAGTTACTGTAATGGGAGAAGTTCCTGCGTGCAACACTGACCCATTTCCTTCCCCAAAATTCAGTGAGACTGCTCGTGGGAAGCCAAGTGCTGCCCAGTGTGCTGTTTGTAGTCACACACAGCCCAGCAGAGATAGGTGAAGTGTGAAACCAGAATGTTCAATCTTGCCCTCTTCTTTCCTGCCTGTGGAGGGTGATGCCAGCAGCAGACAAAGCTGAGGCTCCCCATCAGCACACTCAAGGGTGTACTGGTCCACTCACCTTGCCTGCTTGCCCATTACAAGGTTAACAAAGAGTGGGGTTAAACCAGAGGAAAATTTGATGCAGGAGCCCATCCTTAAACCACATCATCTCTCAGACACAAACATCATTTTGCTTCTGCAGTTTTTGKTTTGCTTTGCTCCATGCCCAGCTGGCAGCCTGACCATCCCAGGGCAAGCCCTGCCACCCMCAGCTGTTCCCTGTGTCACCCACTGCTGCTTCCCACAACCCTGCTCCGTGCTGGTTGCTCCGTGCTGGTTCATCCTGAGAAGCGTGACAGCAAAAACTCTTTTTTTTCTTGCAGCTTGAATGTGGTTGAGCACATCCTCACTCCAGCCATCATCGTRGCTCTCCTTTTGCTTGCAGTGGCTGCTGGTGTTCTGGTAATACTCTCCAGGAAGAGGAAGAAGGGTGAGTCAAGTTGTCAGTGCCACACACATTTGGTTTCTGTACCAGAGCCTGCTCTGCTTCATTTATTTTTCCCTCTATATTTATTTTTTCTCCTGCATTCCCTTCCTGATCCATTCAATTGCTGAGTTCATTGTTGAGACCTCCACCAAGGAGGACTCCTTCCCCCAACAGTGGGACCATCCCCTGGGTGTTGCCCCATGGGAGCAGGGAATGACAGCCTTTGGGGTGGGTGCAGCATGGCACAGATCCTGTTTCAGTTTGGGCACCATCAGCTTCTCCAAACGGGCTCACTTGCATGGGTCAAGCTTACATTAGGCTTGATGCAAAGTTTAAGGCCAGTTTGAAGGATGGGGTGGGACAGAAAGGTACGTCGCCTGCTGGCAGGTGGGGTCTGCCTTTTTTTGAAGAGCTGCTCCAGTTTAAATAGCTTAGAGAGTGACAGGTTTCTGTCCTGGTTTATGGCAAGATTTGCAGTCGTGGTGCAGTTTCTCAATAAGTTTCTTTTCCTGTTTTCACTCATGTCCAACCACATCCATCTTTCATCCAGTCCTCTCCGGAGCAGCCATAGAAATGGACAGGACTCGCAGCGTGCCACCTACAGTAAGGAAAACCTCMTGAAGTCTTGGGATTCTGTGCCCCAAGTTGACATGGAAAGGGGAAGTGTTGTACCCTGAGCTGCCAGAGCTGCTGCTTTCAGCCAGGTTCAAGGCACTTCAGACTGGGAGGGATCCTTTGGGCTCTGTTCACCAACAGAAAGACACAACCAGGGACTTTGTGTGACTATCACAGAGTGCTCCTGAGATGGGAATTTAGGATTGAGTTGAGAGGTTTCTCCCCAGGCCTCTCCAAGCATGGGAGCTGCTTCTCTGGGTGAAACAGCATTGGGAACCTGCAGCAAAGCACATCTGGGCTGTTTGCAGGATGGTTGCTCTTTGCACAGTGCTTGGGAAGTGTTTTCTGATGGTTTCTACCCGTTTTAGAGGAGGGCCTGGTGTCACCAACTAGAATTCCCCTGGGGGCTGTTAAGCCAGCCCTTGCTTCAGTTTTATTTGCACCCAGTGCTCCTGCAGCCGTCTCAGCACCCATCAGGACAGGCACAAGATGGGAGATACTGCCACCCCTGTGGATGCAGGCAGGGAGTGGCAGCAGGGTTAAAACTCATCCCTCTCTGCAGGGACAAGATGCCTTGAACTATGCAGACATAAACCATGACACGGGCATGGCCAAGAGCCCCTACAGCAATGCTGAGGCTCTCCGCCACCCACAAACCCCCTCGATGGAGTACATGGAGGTCAGGCAGAGTGCTAAGGTAGGAGAAYGCCAAGCACTGCCAAGCTGGAGGTGGTGGGAGGAAAAGCTGGGGTGGGTGAGTGACAGAATGGGCAGTGGGATGGGTTGGGTGGGGAAGGAGAGGGCTACAAAGGGATGTGCCAAACTGGGGTGTGAGTGACCCGGGCTAATGTGGGCTCCCTCTCTGGTACCTGTGGCTGCTCCTGGGTGTCTAAAGCAGCCCAGAGAGATTCCAGCAGACAGTGTTTCTCCAGAATACCCCCACAAAGGATGTTTCTTGTTTATCCYCCTCCTTTCCCAGCCTTTGGAAGAGGAAACAGAGGCGTTTTATGCCAAGGTGCAGAAGCCTGTGCCACAGCAGGAGCAAATCTACAGCAACGTGGCCTCAGCTGCACAGCCCAGTGAAGAGCTCTACAGCACAGTGTGGGGGAGTTGAGCCAGCAGCCAGCCCCACGGGCTGCTCCTGCTGCTGGCAGCACCAGCAGGACCTGCACAGAGGACATGGGGTTGGTGTTCTGCTCTCCCAAGGCTTGGATCTTTCTTTGAAGCAATGTCAGGGATGATGAGGTTGTGTGGATGCATGGAGCGGGGTGAGGATAAAATCACCCCTTTGCATTTGGAGTTCTCATCCATAGAGCACTGGTGCTGAGAATAAAACTCTCCCCCTTGAAGTGGGGCCCTATAACTCTTTKCAGCCAGGCTGGTTTCAGGGCAGGGATGCTGATTTACACCAGAGCCAGGGAGAGGCTGAGRAKGGAGCTTCTCATYC